TGACGGCTTAGGCCCGCTCCCAGGCCCCTTGGGGAGCGGGCCTAAGCCACTGTCCGGCCTCCCTTTGTGGGAGGCGACCGGGCTGATCAGGGGAAGGCACCAGCCCCACCACCTTGCTGCTACAGCCACTGCCAGTCACTGCAGCCACCAAGGTGTTTTCATCAACACGGACTCCAGTCCCTTCACCATGAAAAAATGACAACTTTCTTTAGGCATTTTCAAGATGTGTCTTTCATAGGATATGACATTTCTTTATTATTTTTTTTTTTTTTTTTTTAATCCTCACCTGAGGATATGTTTCCATTGATTTTTAGAGAATGTGGAAGAGAAAGGAAAAGACATAGAGAAACATCAAAGTGAGAGGAACACTTTGATTGGTTGCCTCCTGCATGAGCCCTGACTTGGGCCCGGGCCAGGGAGAAGCCTGCAACCTAGGTACATGCCCTTGGTCAGAATTGAACCCAGACCCTGAGGTGGGAAGGCCGAGGCATTATCCACTGAGCCAAACCGGCTAGGGCAGGATATGACATTTCTTAGCCCTCCAGCCGCAGACCTTCCTTTTTTTCTCCAGGAGTGAGGTGGAAAAACCCTAGATCACCGTTTTGGATTCTTATTACCCAAGTTACTAATATTACCAGTGGCATACAGGGATCTTACCCAATGAGCCGTCAGAAAATGTGTTTCCTCTGTAGTTCACACTGATCACCAGCTTGGCCCCTGCACAGGCCTAATGCCTGTGGCCAAGGCATTAGTCCAGGGCAGAAGACCCCAGCTCCCCGCAATTGCCGGCTCCACCCCTGCCCAGGCCTAATGCCTGTGGCTGAGGCGTTAGGCCTGGGCAGGGGACCCCCAGTTCCCATGATTGCCAGCTCCCCCCTTCTCCCCGCCATCGCTCACCATCAAGGATCACTGGCTGGCTCCTCCCCGGCCCAAGCCTAAAGCCTCTGGCCGAGACATTAGGCCTGGGCAGGTGCCCCCTCAGCTCTGATCGTAGGCACCGATCGCCACTGGCACCTATGTATGCAAATTAACCGCCATCTTTGTTGGGTTAATTTGAATACTCATTCGATTGGCTGGTGGGCATATCAGAGGGATGGTCAATTTGCATGTTTGTCTATTATTAGGTAAGATCTATTATAAGAATATATGAAAGGATAGATATAAATATATGTAAAATTATTTCCTCTTTAATCTATAAAAAAGAAATTATAGAAAAATTTCCATATCTTCTGTCAAATACTCAATGACTTCTTTAGCTGAAGTTTCCCGTGGCCACCTTGGACTGTGGCTCCAGCAGGCAGGACCAGATGTAACTGCAGGACAGAGTGGCACCTGTGAGGCCCCAGGAATTTCTACACAGCAAGGTCTGGTGGAGATCAGGGAGCCATGGACACAGGTTCTCTGGAATGACCAGCAGGGAGAGTTCCCCCCCTGCCATTACCCAACTCCTGCCCGGCCTCACCTCTCTTCTTTGCTGAACCGATCTAGGGCCCAGAACCAGGCCTCGAATTCCTCCTCAGGCTCTATTTTGTACTCCTGGGCAGCCTCCTGCAGCAGAACTAATTCTTTTATGATATTTAGCTCCTGGGGCCAGAGGGAAGGAGAGGATGCAGACAAAGCCCGAGTTGGGATGAGGACTGGGGCAGGGACCCGGTCCTGGGTCTTTGCACACAGGGCCACCCTCCTTCCCCCTAATTCCACCGAGGCCCTTCCTGTGCTCAGAGATGGGCATCGACAGCCCTTCCTCCAGGAGGTTATCCTTGATGCCACTCCCTAACCCCAGCCACCAACTGGAGGGGTCTCCCACTTCTGTTATCAAACTCTCCCAATGAGTGGAAGGTGCAGGGGATGGAGCCCAGGAGTGTGCTGGGCAGGGTGCCTCTGATTCTCACTCCCCTCCCCTGCCCCACAGGCTGTGCCACAGCTGCTAACCTTTTCCTTTCTTTCTATGTTGATCTGATTCCCCTAAAAGCAGACAGCCAAAGTCCATCAGAAAGGGCCCCCTGGCTAGGACTGGCCCCCTATGCCCACCCTTCTCATGGTGCACTACCACCAGGTCCCAGGTGGGATGGGAAACAGGAAAAGGCAGGATTTGGATCAAGGGGAGGCTCTGGGCTCCAAAGGAGGGGGTCACGGATGACTATGATGGGCCTGTCGCTCCAGCTCCAAGGGGAGGCTGTGCTGAGAACTCAGGGCTCAGGATGGGGGCTCTCTGTCCCCCAAGGCCAATCCTGGTCACCCCAGTTCAGGCCCCAGGTCACCCACCTCCAGATTATCCTTCTTGCTAATGTCCAGGATCCTCAGGTCTAGTATAAATGTCTCGAGCAGGGGAACACCCTGGGCAAACAGGGTGAGGGTGGGATGAGCCCCTGCTCTCAGGTGCCCCACACGCCCTCTCCTGAAAGCCTCCCACCCTCAGCCTCCTGGCCACCCCAGGGTTCCCACGTGGAGCAGCCCAGGACGTTTAGGGCCTCTACACAATTGTCCCTTCCCTCACTCTCCAGGAACTCCTCCTGATCACCTCCTAGGACCTACATTTGGTAAATCACAGGGTCAGTGGTCCCGGGCCTTCCCCACCCCCATGTCCGTCCTACACTGAGCTCCCCCACGCCCTCCTCTTGGTCATTTCTAAGGGAGGATTTCAGGTTCTGTGGGCACAGGTGGTGGGGCTGCAGGAGGAAGGCCTCCCTCTCTTGACTTGGAGGCCTCCAGCTGGGTGCACAGAGCCCCCTCCTCTGACCCTGGAGGACCCCCAAGACAGGCTCACTCACCTTCTTCTGCAGCCTCTTATCCGATCCTCGGACATAGTGCAGCAGAGTGGCAAACCTGGAGGGCTGTTTCTGTCAGGGTGGAGGACAGGGTCATGGAGGTCATGCTCACCTCACCCCATTCCCTGACCACCTCTGACCTCACACCCTGGCCCTCTGACCCAAGTCAGCTGGTACCAGTGCCACCCCAACTCCAGCATGCTCTGATTCTGGATGCCTCCCAGCTACAACGCTCACTCGGTGTGTGTGACCTTAGGCCTGGGCCTGGCTCCCTGACCCGTTCCCTCCTCTGGAAAGTGGGAGACCTCCACCGAGCTCACAGGTTCTCCTGAGGACTCAGTGTCATTCCTGTCATCATTGTTCTCACCCTCAGCCCTCCAGGTGGCACAGGGCAGGGAGCTCTGCACTGTCCTGTTCTGTCCTGAACTCCTGACCACCCTGGGAAGCCGGCAACATGGGATGGACACCCCTCCATGTCAATCATGAGGAGACTGACTGGCAGCGAGTGCTCTAGGGGTGCAGTGGGAAGTCTCAGGGAGACCACCCCTCTGTCTCTGGTCCAGCCAGTGGGACCTGAGGCCAAGCAGCCCTTTTGTTCCCCTGGCCTGTGGCAATCCCCATCCCTGGGACAGGCAGGAGGCACTCCCCTTGGAGGTGTGGAGAAGACACAAGTGGCAGCAGGGCCCTGGCATCCTGAGGAC